TAGCTATTATTTGTGATCAGTTATTTGGGCATGAATTATCGAAAATTTTAAGATGGTCATAACTCCTTAATTATTGAGTTTTCGGCGGTTTTAGCTATTATTTGTGATCACTTAAGCATGAATTATCGTAAATTTTAAAATGGCCATAACTCCTAAAATATTGAGTTTTCGGCGTTTTTGCTTTTATTTGGGATCACTTTTTAAGCAAAAACCATCGAAAGCTTTAAAATGATCACTTTTATGAGCACGAATTATCGAAAACTTTAAAATGGCCATAATTGCTTAAATATTGACGTTTTTAGCTATTATTAATATTAATTTTTCGGCGCTTTTAGCTATTATTTGTGATCAATTATTTGCGCATGAATTATCGAAAACATTAAAATGGCCATAACTCCTTAAATATTGAGTTTTCGTCGTTTTTAGCTATTATTGTAATTGGTTATTTAGAAATGAGTTATAACTCTTTAAGTATTGAGTTTTCAGCGGATTTAGTTATTATTTGTGATCAGTTATTTAGAAATGAATTATTGAATATTTTAAAGTTGCCGTAAAAAGTGCGTTTTCATCGCTTTTCGGCTATTATTTGTAATCAGTTGTTTGGAATAAGTTTTTTTTTTTTTCACATAAATACTGGAATAAATCTGAAATAAAACTTTTGTATTAAAAAACGTCATATCCAAAGAAACATGAAATGGATTAAATCCAACGGCCTTGAATTTCACAATTAACAGTATCAACAACCGGCACAAGTGACTTGTATATGGTGAAAGGCATCTTAGATCTGGTTTACATTATAATGATGCTATCTCTTAACTGACCAGTTCTAATGTTTAAAAACAAAACAAAAACCAAAAAAAGACGGTATTCTTAAGGTAAATTTTTCTGTTAGATGTAGTTGTCAGTCTATTGTTTTTTTTTTTTTTTGTTATTATTTCTTAACAATATTAAAATTACCACTTGGTTGATTCGCATTGCTTTGGTATACATCTGGTTGTATGTTGGGAGATAGTAAAATTTGAGCACCTTGTGTGGCACCAGTATTGACCACGTTGGATAACTGGTTATAACCTGCATAGCCTGCAGCAACAACTGGTTGCACGTAACTTCCCTGCGGAAAAGCACCACTATACTGAGTTGATGCAGCCCCATATGCGGCAGGATTAACATAAAGTGCCCCGGGAGTTACAAATTGATATGTTGGGATTGAAGCCGCACTTAGCACTTGAGATGGAGCTACATATCCTGCCTGATTATTTCGAACAGGACTTGCAGCTAAATATTGATACTGGGGTGCAGCAACAGCAGCAGAAATATATCTCCCTTGACCACCAACTTGCTGTAAGGTACGAGCGTATCCAATTCCTTGTGTTTGTCCAAGAGGACTTATGGCGGGATTCTGATAAGTTTGAACAAACCCGGCTGGAGCATAACCACCTTGTCCATTGTTGCCTAAACCTGGGGCAACAAATTGGGTTGCGGCAATTGCAGTAATGGGCCCATAAGGTGGACCAGGTATGACAGCAAAAAAAGCTGGAGCGCTATTAGAATTCGATTGATCTGGAAATCGGGCAGATTGACTGTAAGATGAAGCACTTGGATTGTTTACAATAATTGGCACTGGAACTGGTGGCACTTCATGCGTCGCAGGGGCAGTATAGTGGGCAGCAGGAGCCAACGAATTTATTGTAATCTCCACCGTGGTTTTTTCATTTGTTTCATTTTTCGAAATGGGCGGTAGATACGGACCACCACCGGCCGCATATGACCGTGTGGCCGATATTAAAACGGCCACTGTTAAAATTATAATTTTCTAAATAACAGAATTAGATGAGTGAAATGTTAAGCTAGCATCTTCATAACGTCGAACTACTTACCATAATTATTGGGGAAACCTGTTTTTGAAAAATAGTTGCTATCAGATGAATGCAATATATGCGACTGATGCTCAAATTAAAAATTCTTACAAATTTTATAGAGAATACTATTTTTTGTTCTATCTCCATGCTAGCTCTCAATTTATTTTATGTTTAAAAAGAAACAGAGAGAAATTCATTCTGTTCATAAGTATGTTTATGAAGTCAATAAGGGTTTCGCTAACAAAGAGAAAAATATAATTTTCAAAAGTCAGCATTAGAGTAAACCAACGTTGATCGATCTAAATAGTTTGAGAAATATTAGAGAATGAGTTTTTACTTATCTTAAGTTCGTAATTGTTATTGAGTTGTCCAAGACGTATACTGTGACAAAAAATCGATGGCAACAAATTATTGTGTCATAGAATGAAGCATATTTGACTTAAAAGACCAAAAATACCGAAGCATTGGTATCTTTTAGATTCGGACCTGTATTGCCCATTTGATATATATGGGAGCTGTATCCAAATCTGAACCGATCTCGATAAAATTTGGCAAAAATATTTCTGAGCTGTATTTCATATATTTCCCTGAATATCGTTGTTACGGAGTGCATATTACGGCTGCGGGTAACAAATATAACAAATCGGATGAACAGTATATATGGGAGCTATAGCTATATCTGAACCGATCTTCACCAACTTTGACATACTAGCTTCTAGACTAAATTCGGTCGTAAGTGCCCAATTCCATCCCATTTGGACAAATATTAGACGTTTGGTGCACAATAAAAGGTAAACCGGACGAAGTCATATGTGTGAGTTATATCCAAATCTGAACCGGTCTCGATAAAATTTAGCAAATGTATTTCTGAGCTGTATTTGATATATTTCCCAAAATATTGTTGTTACAGAGTGCATATTACGACTGCGAAGGACAAAAACAACAAGTCGGATGAACAATATATGTGGGAGCTATAGCTATATCTGAACCGATTTCGATCAAATTTGGCATGCTTATTTTCAGGCCTAATTTGGTTGTATGTGCAAATTCTATACTATTCGGGCTGATATTACACGCTTAGTGCACAATAAAAGGCAAATTGGTCGAAGATATATATGGGAGCTACATTTAAATTTTGACCAATTTCAATAGGGTTCGTCCTTGGGCCAAACAAATGATTTGTGCAAAATTTCACCTGTATAGGGCAATAAATGCAAACTGTACTTTGTTTACAAAAATATATGGACAGACGGACGGACTGACGGACATGCATAAATCGACTCAGAATGTGATTGTATGCAGATCATCAAAAGGAACTATGGGTCTATCTCGTTTCTTTTTGCCTGTTACAAACAAATGCACAAAGACATAATACCCTGAACACCTTGTGGTGTAGGGTATAAAAATGTGCAGGTAGGAAGAATCATCTGTCAGCAATTTAAAAAACTTCCCCCTAAAAATACCCCATTCCCATCGATGGTAGGGGTACATTTCTGAAACCCATATTTTTGGATACTTTTTAAATTGATTTTGAACAAGTAAGCAAAGGCTATAATCGTGCGGGACTGACCATGTGATACCCTACAACACTAAAAATATTGAAAGCCCCCTTATGTCCAAATACATTTTGGAAGATTTCGTTTTTGAAATGAGGTCATTGAGCCATACCCTTAGCTTTTTGACCCGGGGCCATTTGCCCAATATTTATGCACCCCGTCGTATTGTTAGTTATTCAAAACAGTTTCGCACGAAAGTTGTGGTCCATTTTACAGCTAAATATAATCCAATGGTCATCCAAAATGCTGGACTACTTCCCTGTTCTTCTCTCTTCTCATGCAAAATTCTGTGTCGATTAGTTGTCAATTGTGGTTTGCAGAGCGACTGTAAAATCAGAATTTTTTAATTTTTTGGTCCATTTGATGCCCTAAATGTACATCTTCAAAACAATAGGCTTTAATTCTGACTCTAACCCTACTCCATGGAAAATTTAGTGAGGATCGGACGATAATTATGACCTGTGTATAATACCAAAAACAAAAAAAAAACATAGTGTTGCGGGGTGTATTTCACCCGCTAAATATTGTCCACTTTGGTAGACTTCTGTACAGACCTAAACTCCAACTCCATGCTAAATTACGCATCGATTGGTTTACAATTGTGGTCTGTAGAGCAACAGAGCAAATGTGGAGAATGTTCTGTTTTTGGTAGATTTCAACCCCAAAGTATACTTCGATCATCTCCAAAAACAATAGGTTTATATTCTGACCCTAACCCCACCTCCATTTTCACATGGACAGACGGACGGCCGGACATACATAGCTAGATCAAATCAACTCGGCGAGATAGGAAGATCCATATATAGTTTTCTATGTCGGGGACCAATATTTCGAGGTGTTACATAAGTTTTGGCCAATCAATTACGCATAGTGTTGTGAAATGAGGAATTATTGCCAATATATGCAACCGTAACACTATATAACAAGCAAAAAAGCAGCTAAGTTCGACCGGGCGGAACTTTAAAAACCATTAACATTTGGAAGGAACTTGAAATTTTTCAAAATATATATATATATATATATATATATATATATATATATATATATATATATATATATATTAATTACGAACTTCAAATACAAAATTTGAAACGATTCCGGTTGCTGAAATCTTCAAAATACCGACTATCGGGAGGTACCATTATATGGGGGCTATACGAAAACATGGACCGACATAGCCCATTTACGAGCTTAACCTGCCTACTGGTATACTATGCATGTATGCAAAATTTTAGCCTTCTATCTCAATTCGTTCGAAATATAGCGTGCTTACAACAGACAGGCGGACATACAGACGGACATCGCTAGATCGATGTTCTTGGAATTTTACCCTGATCCAGAATATCTTTTAAAACCATATGGAAATACCTGCCCAACAAGTGGTCATAATATGGTTGATTGAACCGGTTACGGTGTAATATTGTATCTTTTAGCCCTCTATTCCATCTTTTAGCCCTTTACCCGGATTACCCTGATAATTGACAGGAATAAAATTACATTTCTGTCTGTTTATCATAACCCACATATTAACATAACAAAATATCTATAAATGGACCCCCTCTGGCCGTGGTATAGAACATAACACTTTTTTCATAATTTCAACTTTTCTATATTTATTACAGTCTATTTCTTGTGAGCATATCCACCATTGGTGGCGTACTTTGCGCCACCGAGCTCAATTTGACCTGATGTTTGACTAGTAAGTGTAGAAGCGGCTGTGGCTAGTTGGGATTGAATTTGAGCTGGTACGAAATAACTAAACGTTGGAATAATATAACTGAATGCAGAGATTCCACTTGGTTGGGGATACGCAGCTTGTGCAACCAACTGAACTGCTGGAGCGGCTACAGTTTGGGGCGCAACATTTGATGAGGCTGCCACCTGTGATGCCTGACCATCCTGATGATATTGCGAATGATCGCCGTGACTTTGATGGTGATGCGAATGATCTTCTTCATAATTAGGCTGATAAGAATCACTGGCACTGGCGGGTGCAGCATAATGATTATAATGGCTGCTACCAGCACCTTCATGACCATGATTTGTGCCAACATACACCACAGAATGACCACCATTGTGAACATGGGTTACAACAGCTGGCGCAGAGCCTCCACTGCTTAGTCCATCAGCGTATGAACCACCATGTGATGCACCATGACTTGAAGATGTAATTGCACTGGGCACACCATAACTGGTAGCTGGAGGAAGGAAGTGTTTGCTAGGCGTTGAACCATGATTTGAATGGCTGCTGCCATGACTTGAATGGCTGCTGCCATGATTTGAATGACTGCTGCCATGATGCGGTGGCAAATATAGTTCACTAACATCGGATCGTACAAAGGACGATGCTGTCAACAGGACAGCAGCCAAAAGAAATCTTTTCTGAAATTTAAATCTATTATGAAACCTCCATCAATAGCCATCGAAATGTCACTTACCATTTTGCTGGTATGCTTGATCCTAATAATTAAACGGTCCACAAGAAACTAAACGCCAGCTCGACATAAAACCATTTTTATACAAAAGTATAATTAATAAAATTGGTAATTATACATTGCGGTACATACCGGATGATGTGTCGCCTTCAAGTGTATCGATTTTCGAAAACATTACTTCCAAACCGGTCGTTCTTAAAGAATGGTTTTTTGCAGATGACTTTAAAAACATGTAAATAAAATTGAATTCAAATTATACCGAACAAACAAACCGCGAAGCAATCGCAACTGGTAAAGAAGGAATCTCCCACTAACTAGAAGTATATTAATTATTGGCTAATTTCAAACCCCTTGCTTCTTTCTGTAGTCGGTCTAAAATATATACAACTTTTATGGACTTTGTGAACGGTAATTCGAATAAACAAATCCCGGTAATTTTACCCAATAACTGGTTAATTTAATACTCTGCTTGCATAATTGCAATTGCAGCTACCTACACAAATAATTGAACATTTAATAATATGGTTTTTATGAGATGATGTGATTGTTCGTAACCCTACAATTGGAATATTTTTTCCGTCCTGCAAAATATATAATAATTTTTATACCCTCATCCATATGCTTATAGAGGTATATATCATTTGATACGGTCAAAACGTGCCTAGTCGAAATAATGGTTTTAGAACCTAGGTCTCTTTGGACCAAATCCGTTTCATTTGGAGTCGATCTAGCGATGTCCGTCCGTCCGTCTGTCTGTCTGGCTGTTGCGCACGATAACTCTCGAAGGGAGTATCCGATTTGGTCCAAACTTGGTATATCGTAATATTTTTGTCAAACTTAGATCGAGTTCGGAGATTTGCAACATCGGCCCACTCCTTCTGGTACCTCCCACCGAAATTTTGAATAATTACAACTCTCATAAAATGTGATGTAATAGTCCGATTGTCTTCAAATTTCACACATCGCAATATTTATATTAATCCAAGGTCTGGTGTTAAGATGGAATATATCGGTCCACTTCTTCAGCTACCAGACCAACAAATGGTCGAAATTTTCAAAAATATATATTTTTTGCACAGAAAATTGACAATATCGGTCCGCTCCTTCAGGCACCTCCCTCACAAATGCTCAAAATTTTGAATATCCATGAAGTTCACAAAAAGCGAAATCAACATCCGATTCCATTCCAGACATAGTATATCTAAAATATTTCCACCAACACAAGAAATGTTATAAAGATGGTAGAGATCGGACCATTTTGCTAACTGTTCCACATGTGGTGAAAAAGATTTGCTATCAGAACTTGAGTCGAATCGCTTCAATTGAAGATAACATTGAAACATTTATTCGTGAGATATCGGCCAAAATGTTGGAAAAAAATTGCCGAAATTGAACCATTCTCTTGATTAATTGAGGCGGTCAACATTTGCCTGAAATATTCTTGTAACAGTAAATTATATGGAGCCTACTATCAATTCAAATAAAGATTTCGTGCAAATGTTATTTTATATATTGTTGTCGTTCACTGTAAGTCATACTTGGCATATATGCTGCTTACTTGCAACCTTGGAGTAAGGTGGCATCTCCTTTCTCTTAATAATTTTCGCAGTCATTGTAGTCATCTGGCGATCCTTTTTTCTTTTACGATCCTGAGACAGTAAAAAGAGGGCTCAGAATCATTTTTTAAGTAACCTGTTCTGCTGCCACATTGTTTTTCCGATTCACCTCTGCGTCCCGAAAATAGAAAACATAATTTGCGTTTTCGCCTAAAAGTATGCTCTTGACTTAACTTTACAAACGATGTTGGTTAATATGTAAAGAATGCATGAGACAAAAATACTAAAGTCTAAGATTTAATCAGTAAAACAAGGTCAAAAGTCGAGTGGGCCGACTTTATGATGTCCTACAGTACTATGTATATTAAGTAGAGCTACCCGTTACAAATAAACTTTTATATTGGGAATAAATGTGAAGGGTGTCACAACAATTATGAACCTTTTTAGAATGTGTATTAAAATTCTAGAGCAGAGGGAACTAATATATGGATTAAAATCAGAGGAAACTAACATATGGATTTGAATCGATTTCCACCAAAAGAGGCATTTGTACCTCATGTACCAAATAACATTGCTATAGAGTGCATAATATGACTATGAGAAAGATTACGTTAAACAACAAAATAACTAGTTAAGTTCTCGAACTTTTTATACCCTCCACCATTTCGAAAGTAAATCAGGTAAAAATATGTATCTTACTGCCAAAATTCTAGCATTCGAGCAGAATAACGTTGCGTTGCGTTTGTGTCCATGTATCGATAAAACATAGCAAAGGTATTTCTGGGGTAAATCTGACATATGGTATCAAATATTACTATTGTGGAAGGACGTAAGCCCCGGATGAAACATATATGCCGGAGCTATATCTAAACCGATTTTCACCAACTTTGAAGTATTTGCTTCTAGACTCTATTCGGTCGTATATGCAAAAAAACCACTCCACTGGTGCTGATATTAAACGTGCACCAAATCTGATATCGGATGAAGATACATATTGAAGCTATATTCAAATCGGGACCGATATTGATCAAATTTGTAATAGGTATTTCTGAGCTGTATCTGATATCTGGTACCAACTATCATTGTTGTGGGGTGTATGTTATGAACACCAAATCGGATGAAGTTCATATATGGAAGCTGTAGCTATATCTGAACCGATTCATCAAATTTGAAGTACTTGGTTCTGAACTGAATTCTATGGGATATGACTGAATCCATTTCATTTGGACGAATATTTCACATATGGCGCACAGTAAAACTGATATCGGAGAAAAATATATATATGGTAGCTATATCTAAATCTGAGCCGGTTACCACCAATTTCAATATATTATAGATTGAGCCCATCTACATTTTTCCCGGTGAAATCGCTTGGTATATAGTCTTGAAAAAACCGTAAAATCGATTGTACCGATTTCCTGCTTCAGCGGTAATTATCTATCGTAGTTTTAAATACCAAATTTGAAATTTTTTGAGAAAAATGTGTCTAAAATCACCAAAATATCAAATAGTCAAAAGTACTGCTACATGGGTGATGTAAGCAATAATGGGACTATTCCAGCAGATATATAGTGATCTACTAGTGACAAAATTCACATATGTTCAAAATTTTAGCCTTCTATCTCAATTCCAATAATTGTGTGTGAATACAAGACGGACATCACTATTACCGATTTTCAACTTCAAATACGAAATTTGAAAAAATCCGGTACATAATGTATTTGAAATCATCAAAATAAGAAATGTCGGGAGGTATCGAAAACGTGGACCTGCATACGAAATTTCTTGCCATAGGCTGTAGTAACCATTATGAACTTCAAACACGAAATTTGAAAGAATTCTGGTCTATAATGTCTCTGGAATCATTAAAATACCGAATTTTGGGAGATACCGTTATATGGGGGCTATACGAAAACATGAACCGACATGGCCCATTTACGAACATAACCTGCATAATACAATCTTTGTAGGGTCAAACATGAGTATTTCGAGGTGTTACAAAGGAAGGACGAAGTTAATATACCCTCCATAGAATGGTGGATGGTATATATAGGGCCAATTTTGGAAGACCCATTCTTATTTATATTTTTTTCGAAACAAAATTGAAATTTTATTTTGGTGTTGAATTAAACTATACAAAACAAAGCAAATTATTTATGTCGCAAGTAATCGGTACGAGTATAATAAGTAGCGGGACGAACATATGTTGTGGTTACCGGAGTCAATGGACGGACATATTGGACGACTGGAACTGATGCAGCCTGGACAAAGGTTCTGGTAACTGGTGCAGAGACTACAGCAGGAGCTACTGGAACAGCAGCTGGAACAGAGTAACGAACAACTGGTGCAATTGGAACGGCAGCTGGAACAGAATAGCGAACAACTGGCACCGATGCAGCCCGTAGAAAAACAGCAGCGTTAGCGGCGCCAACCAAAACAGCCAAGGCAAAAATTGTGAATTTCTAAAAGAAATAAATTATTATTACATATGCTGTTTTATTTTTGAGCTCGATAAATTACCATTTTGAAGGCGGCGTAAGCTTTGAATCTTTCAAGGAATTGATGCCTACTTGAGTTTTTGTTCTACTTTTATATGTCAATCATGAGATGCTGAAATAAATGTAAAATGTATCTATTCGAATTCTATATCATTCAATTTGTTACATTTTTAATTGAATATGTCATCGAATTGTAATAAAATAAATGTTATAATTGATTTTGTCACATTACGTTATATTTATTCCATTTAAATTCTATAATGAGGCCAACCAACGGTAGCTGGTTTTGTTTTGTCATAATATGTCAAAAATATTTAATTTACTGATTTCCAATGAAGGTCTAACCGGTAGGATCATATTTAATTTTTAACTGTTTAATTTCTCATTTAATCCTATAACATCATATCACGACTAGCAAGTTCCATCTACTTCGTCAGATTTTTGATTCGTTACAACAGCTCATGTTAGGCCATTTTAGTACTCAAAATGTGCAATTTGTACAGTTTGGCAACATTTCTTAATCAAAACTTTACACATCGTTATAAATTTTCAGACTCTGAAGTCAAGTTTTTTTCTATTTTTTGGCAAGAATAATGGGAATATGGCTACCTTTGACAACAAAAAGTCTTCAAAGACCTTTCATTTTCAAGTTTACCAAGAAGGATATTTACCACACGTCTCCATGTGTAATCCCTAGAAACCATGAATGACCTCAATATGAAATTTTAGAATTTCAATCCAATACCAGATCTAATAACATTTAATACGTATGTTCAACACAATCTACATCTTTCCGTAGTTGACACCATGGTACAATAAAAAGGTAAGGTAGAGCTCCCAGCTGATTACAATTTTTTTTCTAAGTGTGCCCGACTTCTGCCATTTTTATACCCTACAACACTATGTGTTGGGGGTATTATAAGTTTGATTGGGCCTAAAATTATGTAACACCTCGAAATATTGATAGGAAAGTATATATGGATCTTCCTATCTCGCCGAGTTGAGTCGATCTAGCTATGTATGTCCGTCCGTCCGTCTGTCCGTCTGTCCATGTTAATTTGTAATCACTCTACAGGTCGCAATTATTTCCCGATCTTCACGAAATTTAGAATGGAGGTGGGGCTAGGGTCAGAATAGAGCCCTGTTTCTTTTGGAGATGATCGCATAATATTTAGGGGCCGAAATGGACCAAAAACTGATATAATAGACCATATCTTTTGTGTTGAAAAAATTCAAAATTTTTCATTAAACCGCGAATATTTTAAATCCCGGCAAAATCACAAAGCCATGACAAGGTTACTTCTGATCTTTACATTGATGTTAACATCCAACAAAACGGATATATAGCAAAATATGTGCGATATATATGTCTATCAAAGAAGATATGCTTGAAAGATCTCTTATATGTCGAGAATGGCTGAACTGATTTCGACAGTTCTCATTAATTCAGAATAGCCTCTTGGCAGGAAAGAAAAAACGTCTAAAAAATCGCATAAAAATATCTCTCTAAAGATGAAAATATTGATTTTGTCAAATTTTCTCATATTTTTTTTTCAATTTTGTCACATTTTTGGCATATTTTCATTTTGAATTAAACATTTGGTAATATTTCTACAGCTAACAAAACTAAGTAGTTAGGATATCGGGATATCATATACAGATCGCATTTATGGCCCGATGCATACGAAATTTTGCATGGGGATCAGATGAGGGTCAGAATAGAAGCCTACTCTTTTTGAAGATGATCGCCATATATTTAGGGGTTGAAATGGACCAAAAAAACTGCAAAATTGTCAGCAGGTCGTAATTATTACCCGATCCTCACGCACATTTGAATGGGGATTAACGGGCATTGCAAAAGCCATGCAGTTTTGGATGGCCATCCAAAAATATTCAATGTGTGAAATAGTTTGCCAACTTTTGTAGACAAAATACGAAAATGTCCATTCCAGTGACTTTTTGGAGAATTCACAAATACAGGAAAGACGCACTTCCGACTATTTCGTTAACGCTGATTTCGTTGAAGAATATAGTCAAATGTCTGTATCTCATATAGATGCGCTTCAGTCAAAAACCACTAATAAATGTTAATCTTTTGCCACTTCTGAGAGATTATAGGTCTTTAGGAAATATTGGTTCCAGATCTAGGAAGACCATTTACGTGCAACATCTTCCAATAAATTGGAAATGAGCAAATTAGTTAAAGTTGCTATTATTCGAATATTAGAGAACGAAACCTGATAGTTTTCTTTTATTATTTGTCACAATATCTTGTGGAATTCTTTCGAGTATCTCGCCTATATAAACTGTATCGTTTATTATAGTGTTGTAGGGTATTGAACGGTCGGTCCCGCTCGACTGTAGCCTTTGCTTACTTGTTTGTAATCACTCTACAGGTCGCAATTATGGCCCGATCCTCACGAAATTGAAAAGGTCAGAATAGAACCCTATATCTTTTGGAGATGATCGCATAATATTTAGGGGTTGAAATGGACCAAAAACTGAAAAAATCCTGATTTTGCAGTTGCTCTACAGGTCGCAATTATAGTCCGATCGAAGCGAAAGTTAGCACGGGGCTAGAGTTTAGGGTTGGGCAAAAGCCTTCCAGTTTTGGTGGTCATTGTGTAATATTTAGGGGGTGAAATAGACCATAACATTTGTGTTAAATAAAAAAAAAAATTTCCATTAAACCGCGAATATTTTTAATCCCGGCGAAATCACAAATAGACGAACAGGTCATTTCTGACCATTTCGTACATTCCGATAGTAAATATATCGGATATATATTGCGAAATATATACAAAGGAAGGGGATGTTAGCTAGAATGCTTATATCTCAAGAACGGCTGGATCGATTTTGACAAATTTTGTCAATTCAGAATGCCCTCTTGGCATAAAAAGATAATATGTAAAAAAATCCCATAAAAAGATGCCAATAATGATGTCAATATAGATGATCGACTCTTTATCAAAGATGTCCGCAATATATTTAGGGATTGAAATGAACCAACAACTAAAAATGTTCCTGATTTTGCAGCCCTTATAAATGTTATAAATAAATAGCAATTTTTGAACAATTATGATACGTATTTGCAAAACCACTGCTAGATCTCAACATAGACCTCAATATCAAAATTTTAGAATTTCAGCTCTATTCCTTCAACCAAAGCAAAAGTTAGTAACATTCTTCTTAAAAGTTTAGTAAACATTTTACCTACATTGACCTTAATATAAAATGTTAGGCTGGCACCTCTTTATTTCCCCCCCAATGTCCCTATCCCTTCACCCAATACCAAATATAGTACCATTCAGTACTTTTCGTACAATTATAGTACACCTTTCAGAAACCACAAACATATGTCCAGGCTATAAATGAACAACGACCCTAATACCAAATTTCAGATTCCTAGCAATGCCAAATTGTACCAACTATAGTACTATTTAGTATTTTTAGTGGACTTGTAGTACACATTTCCAAAAACACCTCTTCATCACAAAGATACCACCAAACAGGTAGCCCAACACCAGCATTTCAAAATTTCATCTTCTTGCGTCCACACAAAACCAAATTGTACCGAATTTAGTACCACTTAGTACAGTTCTTATACTAAATACACATTTCCAAAACCACCTCTCTATCACAAAATGTACCATCAATAAGGACCCCAATACAAAATCTCAAATTACCAGCTTCATCCTTCTTCAAATATCTGAGATAATACTATTTAGTACTTTTAGAATATGTTTCCAAATCGCTTTTAGTGCGTATTTCCAAATCGCTATGTGTCAACCACATCCTATAGACTACTTCCAAATTTTAGACTTCCAACTCAAACCCTAGTAAGAATTATCAAAATACCGGATATCGGGCGGAGCTATTATATAGAAACTGTGGACCAATATGGACAATGTTCTGAATGTTCTGAATTGGGATACACCGGTCCACAATTTGGTATACCCCCTATTTGACGATAGCACTGTGCAGAGGTTTTTAAAAGGTTTTGGCCATATTTTCGAATGAGATTGGAGTACGTCAACTCTGTAGAATACATTTTCAAAATCGGTTTACATTTGGTACGGCACTCAGTGACGTCTAAATAATTGTTCTAAATAATTTAATTACAAACAAATACCAACCCCATTTACATGTACGTCTAAGAACAAATATTTAATTAAGAGAATGTTGACAAAAATAAAATTATAATTCCATGATATATTTACGTGCAATTACGTAAATTATGCAAAATTTCTTACGTAAAACAAAAACAATTTCACTGTCGAAGATGCGTACTGAAGTAATGGATTTGTATAAAAGTGAGATAGGCAATCCTAAATGATATCAGTTACTTGCGCATTTTCAGCAGCTCTAAATTTACAAAATGGTAAGATATTAAACAGTTACATTGTGGTATAAAATAACTTCAATAAATCGCAATTATTTCAGAAACTCACAATTTTTGCCTTTGCCCTTTTGGCATCATCCGCCTATGCTACTGTCTTCTATCCCGCTGCATCGGTACCGCTTGTCCGTTATTCTGTTCCAGCAGCACCCGTTGTTCGTTATTCTCTGCCAGCCGCGGTGCCAGTAGCTCCTGCCGTAGTTGCTGCTCCTGTTGCCAGAACCTATGTCCAGGCTGCATCAGTTCCAGTGGTTCAATATGTTCGTCCATTAACACCAGTTACAACAACATTCGTACGTCCCGCCACATACTACACTCGTACAGATTATTTGCGTCATAAATAATTGATTTAATAACGAAAATGAAATGCGACTTTTAAATAAAATGCTATTGTTGCTACAATAACAACAAAAATAATTTCTTTTTAAAATGTTCCAAGTATATAAGACATCTATGTTAATAAGAGCGTAAAGTAATTGATTGACTGACTCATTCATCGGTTGATTAACGCCCAGACGAACGGCTACAGCTAGAATCTTGAAATTGGTTAGGGTCACTCTTGGCCCGAAGGTGTCACGTATGGTTGAATTATTTGACATTCGTACCTAGAGTGTACGAAAAGAACTTAAATGCACTACATTTGGTACAATTTCGTATCGGTTAGAGGTAAAAACTTGAAATTTGGAATGAGAATCAAGATTGAGGAGTAGGGTCGATGTCAGGAGGAAGTTCTGGAAGTATCTATATTTATAAAAGAGGAAAAGGTTCGTATGTTTGTCATTTGTAATTTATGGACTCGAAAACCGCTGAAAAGATTTTCCTGAAAATGTTCAAGTATACTACAACATCGGCTGAATCATAGGTTATATACTTTTTTGAAATTCCACTTGGAATTGGAGATATAGCATCAGAAACGGAGGTACCTCCAAAAATTTTATTTGTTATATGCACATATCTATTGATCGACTAACGACACAGTCCCCAACTTTGGAATGAGTGACGGGATTTCATCAGAAAATATATTTGCCAAATTGTATTGAATTCGGTTCAGATTTGGATGTAACTCTCATATATATTTTCGGCCGACTTCATGTAATTGATGCATTAAACATGCTGTGCACGCCGTATTCCAATGAAATTTGGAATGTGTGATGGAATTTTTCTAAAAACTTTGTTTGCCAAATTATATTAAAATCGGTTGAGGTTTGAATATATATTTTCGACCGGTTTCATGTATTTGATGCACCTAACACGCTATATTTCTCTAATTTCAATTATATTTGGAATGTGTAATGGAATTTAAAACGAATATACATTTGCTAAATTATATATAAATCGGTTCTGATTTGGATAAAGCTTCCATATATATTTTCGACCGATCTCATTTTTTTGATACACCAAACATGATATGAATGTTCGATTTCAATATAATTTCGAATGTGTGACGGGATTTGATCTGAAAATAAATTTGCAAATAATATTGAAATCGGTTCAAATTTGGATATAGCTCTCGTATTTATTTTTGGCCGATCTTTTCGGCAGATATGCACAAAACACGATATGTATTTTTGATTCCAATAATTGCAACAGAAATGTCATTTAATTTCAAAAGATTGCATTTTCCTACACGTTTGGCTTTTGATATGAAAGCCAAATCTTAACCTATTTCTAATTAATTTGTCAAATTTCACATATTTGATCCAACAATGCGAATAATCCGTTGTAAAGTGGACCGAGCCATGCCCAACTGCTGAGAACGGCGTTTTTGGGATGTTCTTGGGGACCTCTCAACACTGCCTCGTACGGCAGCGATATTCTCGGCCGATCGCCTGGCCTTTTCGGATTAGAAAGAGCCTTACCAGTCGAAAATTTTTCGTATAAACGCTTAATGGTGTTCTTAGAAGGCGCACTTCTCACATTTTTTAATGTTTCAAAAGCACGTTGAGTTTTCACAATTGACTTCTTGTAAATTTCAAATATTTCAGAGCGTTCGCGTGGCGTGTATTGGTTCATGGTAAAAATCTGCTTGGACTGACGCTTCAAACGCGGTATGTCATTAAGCGATGTGACATCTCTGTCAAAAGTTATGGCGTTGCCAGATGGGTCCGTCGAATATGGGCAACCCTGTATTCCGTTTGTAACTCCTCGATGTACCCGATCAAACAGAGTATGTATATTCTTTATTATCAGCGTAAAATTCTAAGTCGGTTAAACTATGTCCGTCTGGCTGTCGGTTTGCTGTTGTAATCACGCTATATTTTGAACGAATTGATATAGATGTCCACAATTTTGCACAAAAGTATATTTAGCCAGTAGACAGGTTAAGTTCGTAAATGGGCAATGTCGGCCCACGTTTTCGTATAGCCCACATACAAAGGTATTTTGATGATTTTCTCGACAATATTTATCGGAATTATTTCAAATTTCGTTTTTGAAGATCTTAATGGGTTCTGCAATCTATGACATAAACTTAGTTATGCAGGCCCACATCTTCGTAGAGCCCCCAAATAACGGTACCTTCCAATATTCGGTATTTTTATGATTTTAGAGACATTATAAATCGGAATTGTTTAAAATCTGGTATTCAAAGTTCATAATGTGTTAGTTTCAGGAAAACAACATTATAATCATCAGTCTTATTAAAAGATTTTTTAACTAAACATTTCAAATTAAAATCTCAAACTCCCATTTAAAACACAGTGTTTTTCTATTAAATTTTCATTTGTCATTTTATTGTTGAATTATATTTCAATCGGCACGCATTAAACACACTTATTTGTGGCGCAAATAATCGGTACGAGTAAAGTAAGTAGCTGGACGTACATAAGTTGTGGTCACTGGGGTCAATGGGCGAACATATTGCACTACGGCCGGGGCCACAGGAACTGCAGCTGGAACAGAATAACGAACAAATGGCACTGACGCAGCGGGAAGCAGGACAGCAGCATAAGCGGATGATACCAAAACGGCGAAGGCAAGAATTGTAAGTTTCTATAAAATAGGTCAATTCAAGGGATTAAAATTCAATTAATACACATCTGCTTGAATTTAAATCTTACCATTTTTGGGATCTTAGAAGTTTTAACTGTTGAATGTAACTGTTAGCAGATGTTAGCGTTTATTCTACTTTTATATGATTGCATTGTAAGAAAAGAATATGCAATAAAAATAAATAAAAAGCTTTAATTGCTGTATTTATTTTGATTTATAAATTATACTTTGTTTAATTGAATCAAAGGATTTGGATAATTTATTAAAATGTGTCAAAATAACATTGTCAACAAAATATCGAAAATATTGGCTTAAATTAAATTTGTTTTAATGAAATCGCAACCTTAGATAAATGTTAAGTGAGTAAAATATAATGACCTCATACCTTAAATGGGCAATTATTAAAAAGCTATTTAATAAGAAGTAAATAAACTTGTTGTTTTTGTTAAATTTTTGTATTGTCTCTCTGAAACACTGTGCAACACAAAAAATAATTACAGAAATCCAGCATATAAATGCCCGTCATTGGAAATCTCTCCAGCTCCGAAATATAGCAGATTGATACAATTTTTTCTGATGTATTTTATTTATTCTAAATGACCCCTTATTTGGTTATGCCCCATATAACTGGCAGTTTGCTTTCTCTGTATGTAGAAATATCCTTGGCATGGTGTATTACGACAGTAAATTTCCTGTACAGACCCACTTGTTTTCTGTTGTCGTGCTGGGCCGACCATGTGATACCCTACAACACTACAATATGTGAAATGCCCCCTTATGTCCAAATCCATTAGAATATTTCGCATTTAAATTATGTCATAGAGCACTACCCAGATATTACTCTTAGCTTTTTGACCAGAAACATTTGAACCCCTATACATTTTGCGATCATCTCCAAAAGCAAGAGCCCCCTCTGTATCTCCAAATTTAAGTAAGTTCGACCGGGCCGAACTTTGAATACCCTCCACAATTTGGAACGAATTTGGAAATAAAATCCTTAAAAATTTTTGTTAAAATTTTAAATATACCAAATATAGCGGCTATACGACGTGGACCTACATAGGCATGTTTGTCATTACCATATTTGAAATAAACGGTGAATAATGTAGCTAAAATCATCAAAACATCGTATATAGGGAGGTACCGTTATACCGGAGCTGTGCCAAGACCTGGACCAGCATAAACAATTTTCTGTCATAGGCTGTAGCATCCATTACGAACTTCAAATACGACATCTCAAAAAATTTCGGTGGGTATTGTACCTAAACTCGTCAAAATACCTAATATAGGGAGGTACTGGTATATGGGGCCTACACGAAGACCTGGACCTGAATATACAATTTTCTGTCACAGGCTGTAGTTCCCATTACGAACTCTAAATATTTAATTTGAAATAATTCCGGTGAATAATGACGCTAAAATCATCAAAATACCAAATATAGGGAGATACCGTTATATGGCTATACGAAGACGTGGACCTGCACAGACAATTTTCTGTCTTGGGCTGTGGTATCCATAACGAACTTCAAATACCAAATTTGAAACAATTCCGGTTAATAATGTCGCTAAAATCATCAAAATACCGAATATGGGGGCTATATGAAAATGTGGACCTGCACAGACAATTTTCTGTCTTAGGATGTAGTATCCATTTCAAACTTCAAATACTAAATTTGAAACAATTCAGGTGAATAATGTCTCTAAAATTATCAAAATACCGATTATCGGGAGGTACCCTTATATGGGGCCTATATGAAAACGTGAACCTATATGGCCCATTAACGAACTTAATCTGCCTACTGGAAAAATAAACATGTGTGCTAAATCGACTTATAATTTTACGCTGATCAAGAATATATATACTTTGTTTGGTCTGACATGAGTATTTCGATGAGTTACCAACGGAATGACAAAGTTAATATACCCCCCATAGTATGGTGGAGGGTATAAAAAGCCTGAAGCTCGCCTTTTGTGTATTTTGGATTTCGACTGTAAATTATTTTCAGCATTTCGGTAGAACAAAACAATAGGCCCAGCCCTTCTGAGTCCTAACACAATAGTCCTAGCACTTCTGAGTCCTAGCACTTGCAATCAGTATATAATATTCCCAACATGTGTTGTAAGGTGAAAAAATATTACAAAATATAATAAGTCAAATTGAAGAAATCGCATGCGATAAAAAATATGAAAAAAATGTTACAAAATACTACAAAATCTATATTGGCATCTTTTTATGCGATTTTTTGAGATTTAATACTTTTATGCCAAGAGGACATTTTGAATTGACAATCTATGTAAAAACCGGTCCAGCCATTCTTGAGGTATAAGCATTCTAGCTAACATCCCTTTCCATTGTATATACACATTGTATATATTTCGCTATATATATCCGATATCTTTACTATCGGCATCTACGTAACGGTCAG